TCCTTGCTGCTAACTGCACTTGTTATGATAGCTGATCTTATTCCTAAAAACTGAAGTAAAAAAAGCATTAGATATTTCAGCCTTCTCTGCATCATCTGTTATTGGACACACAAAAAAATTAGTAAGAGCACAGATTTCCTTAGTCTTTCTCTTCTAACATATTTGTAGAATCCTTTTTTCATCCCTTTTACATTCCTTAATAGTTGCAAAACCTGCCTCAGCCTTCCTGTTGTTCTTCTCTGTGCATATTCATGCAATACTCTTATACTCTAACCTAGTAATATTGCCAAGCTTCTACTTTTCAGCTGGATTCCTTTTTGAGTTTCAGCTCACAGTTCACTGTTTAACCAGGTTGACCTCCTGCTACAATTCCTATTCTCAATTTGCATTGGGATACTTTTACTCCTGTGCTATTAAAGACTCCTTAAAAGTACAACCAGCCTTTTTGGGCTTCTTTTAACACTAAGGGTTGCCTCCCAAGGGATGCTGCCACCAGTTCCCTGAGCTTGTTAAAGTCTACTTTTCTGAGAAGTGACTTTGTACTGCTCTCCTTCCTTCCTCTCCTTAGGTTCTTGAAATCTATACTTTTATGGTTACAGTCATCAGTTACCTTCCACCTTCACATTCTTAACCGCTTCCTCCCTGTTTGTGAGCAGCAGGTCAAAGTTGGCCTCTTCACCGTCTGTACCAAAAAATTATCTGACGCAATCCAAGAACGTAATGGATTACCTGTGCACTACTGCGTTGCTCTGCCAGCAGATGATGTGGTATTTGAAGTGACCCATGAAGACCATGTCCTTTGACTTGAAAACTTCAGTTGGGTGTTTCAAAAAAGGCTTGTCCACCTCTTCCTCCTGGCTTGGTCTGTAGGGCTAAGTACGAACAGTCAAAAAGCCCAAGGCTGAATCGATTCACTCTTTTCAGGTTAGTCTAAACTGCTTAGATTGAACTGAAAAGCAAGTAAACAGACATTCATTTTTGATACCAGAAATGCAGCCACATGCCTGCAGTGGCCCAGGCCAGAAGCAAGGGGTTGCTATAGCATGTCTGCTTTCTCTGATGAAGCAAACAGCTTGGGCCAAAGCTATCCTACCCATTCTGCAAGCACCTTGGGATGCTGGGGAGTGCTAAGAGTCTGGAGGGGACCTGGGACAGAAGTTCAATAAACCAATTTAACCTAAATCAGTTGCATCTGATACTACATTCCATCAAGCTTTATCTTAAGCTGGTTTCTGACCTGGACCTAGAGACTTTAACAGGCCAACCTTCCACTTTAGTCTGCACTTCAGAACAAACACACATCTTGTTCATGTATAGAGCAACATCACCTCCCTTTGCCACTGCCTGTCCTTCCTGAACAGTTTACATTCATCCATGACAGTATTCCAGAGGCAAACTATCCCACCACCTCTCTTTTATTCCAATTGCATCATAATTCCCTGATTGTACTAGGATTTGCATTTCTTTTTGCTTATTCCTCATGTGTCTTGTGTTAATGTACAAAGTTTTTGTAGGTAGTTAACAGACTGCCTTAAGTTCTCTGGGAACATTAAGGCTTCCCCTATTGCTTCCTTATACTTGTTTTTTGTCTAGGTCTCTTGGCTCTTTAGTCACCCCTGAACTTTAGTCTCTGTCCCCCAGTCAACTAAGTTTAAAACCCTCCTTACTAAGCTAGCAAGCCTGTAAACAAAAATCATCTTTCCCTTCCCATCCCCACTTCATTTGGTGGATGCCATCTATTTCCAGCAGTCCTTCATGGAATGTCACTCCATGGTCAAAGAAGCTAAAGCTTTGCATAGATGGTGTCGCCAGCAGCTATATATTGATCCCTAGGATGCATCTATTCCTGCCTGGGCCTTTACTTTTGACTTGGAAGGATTGATGAGAACACCACCTGAGCCCTGTGGTCACCTCTGATCTGCTCAGGGTCACCCCTGCAGTATCACTACTGCACAAATTGATAGACAACATGGGGTAGTAGTCAGAGGGCTGGATGAGTCTCTGCAGCATTTCCATAACATCTGGGATGCAGGCTCCTGGCAAGCAGCAGACCTCCTAAGTCAACAGATCAGGCCAGCAGATTGAGGCCTCTGTCTCCTGCAGAAGGTAGTTGCCAGCCACCACCATCCATTGCACCCTCTTGGTTGGCAATGGTCTTGATCGTTCTAGCTTCTGGAGTACATGACTTAGCCTCTCGCGGCAATGGAGTAGGTTCCTCTTCTTCTGATGCTAGGATTTTGGATCTGTTCTGTAGCTGGACACCTGCAGGTTCAGAAGTGAACTCTCTGATGCCAGAAGTGACAAGCTGCTAGGTTCCACCTTCCTGAGAGTCTAGGTTGTCTGTCCTCTAACACCTTCTCTAGCTCTCCCTCTTCCATGATGCTGGAGATCTCTCTGTACACTGAGTCAATTAAGTCCTTTCTCTCCCAGATGCTTTTGAGGCTGTCTGCCTCCTGTAGCTCCCTTACCTGGGTTCTTGGGGGTTCCATCTCTCACACCACAAACACTTTCCCTCACCTGCCTGTTCTTGGCAGGGATATGCAGATTATAATCCCTGCAAAGGTAAACCAGGACCTGTGTGAAAGCCTTGGAGGTCAGTTTGCCAGAACTAGTGCAGGCAAAGGAAGAGGTGGCAGTTGCTTCAACATTGTGACATCTTCTAACCATCTCACTAATTCTTTTTCAGTCTCTTTCCTCTTCTGCTGCTACTTCCTAGAAATTCTTTCTTCCTTTATCTGCTGCTTCGCAGCAAGCTTGTGCTGAAGTAGTGTTAAAAACTGGCTGTAGCAAACTCCTGTTTCCTGAACTATTCATTGGTTCCTGCTGCCACTAACTTGCTGGAATTCTGGCTGGCTTAACCTTTCTGTGTGACTGTGGGTCTTACTGTAGATATTGGTGTCTTTTAAGTAGTAGGGACTAGTACAAATGGTTATGGGCATGCTCAGTTTTGCAGAACTTTAGCTCCAGTAAGACAGGAAGTTTTAATCCAAATGAGAAACAGAGTCTAGTTTTCAGGTGAGTTAAAAACCAAGTGTCTCTACTGTGAGTAATGTAAATCTTTTGACTAAGCTTGGTAGGTCTTGTGGAAAATGTTACTATGCAATAATATTATCATCTCATATAGAAGATTCCATTACATGAGCATGTAATCAAAAGTGCACAGTTCATTCCAGTCATCGTTAAGATGAACTGTTGACCATTTCTTTCCAAGCAGTTAATAATATGCCACGATGAGTCTTTTATGTTATAACTTGTCCTGGGAATGAAAAAATTGGAATGTAGGCGCAGTGCTTTGTCTTGGCTGGTTCTGACTTGCTATTAGTGATTGAAAAAAAACCAAAACCACTTTGCTTTTCACATCTGTTCTCTTTGAGGGCGAGGCTTTACTGCCTTTAAATAACATCTCGCATTTTCCCTGCCCCATAGCAGGAAGACAGAGCACCACTAACATCGCTGCTTTCCAAACCAGCAGTCCCTACAGTTGCATCCTCCACAGATATGCTCCACAGTAAACTCTCGCAACTCCGTGAATCACGGGAACAGTACCAACATTTGGACCTGGACTCCAATCAGACTCACTCCTCTGGCATTGGAACCACCACATCCTCCTCTTCCACAGCAGCCAATATTGATGACTTGAAAAAAAGACTGGAGAGAATAAAAAGCAGTCGCAAATGAAGCTCCGTGAGGGACATCATGGCTGGAGCCTAAGCTGTCTTCAGCTTTAGTTTACTAAACTAGAAGTCTTCATAGTTCAAGTGGCCTCATTTAGGCCTAGTGTATACAAACTGGTTTATGTATAATACAGTGGATTTTGGGGAGGATGAGTCATTGTGGCACAAGTATTTGTACATACTCTGCTTCTCAGTTGACATCCCTTGACAATAGAAGACTGTCTGTGTATTAGTTTTAGTGTACAGACCTGTAAACAGCCATCCTCCTGCTCAGACTAGTTTCTCATAACTTGGGTTTTTATTAGTAAAATTGTCTTAAGATCTTTTTCCTAGCTCTTAACTCCTAGAAGCTCTTTAGTGGTTTCACTTTTAATTTTGTGAATTCTTCTCCATGTAATCCTTGAACTGTTGATTCTGTATGGACGCATGGCATGAAATAACTAATTTAAGTGTCTTTTGTAAATAAAGTTTGCATTAACTATACCAGTCTCTGTAGGAGCAGCAGCAACTGTTGGTGAGAATAGAAGCCACTTGGTGTTGCTGGATGCTAGTGCCTGGGCACTTATGAGCTGAATCCAGCTCTTCTTGATTTGAACCTTGGCATTGGAATGTAGCATTGGGAAACTGGACTCCTGAGAAAATGTGCCCTTTCTAGCCATTGGAAGGAGCCCTGAGATTTTTGCATTCCTTTATATCAGAAGTGCGTTTGCTATATTAATACACTGCTTTTTGTTTACTCAGTGTTTTTTTTGTAAAAAAGTTGGAAAAGAATAGACCAACAAATGTTTAGCAACCTAGTCGTTTGAAATCTTTGGTCCCTGTGAAGCAACTACCCAGATCAAGCAGTCCCTTTGTGAATAAGTCTGGTGACGTGCCTGCCTTTTCCAAAGGAAAGGGACTGGGTAACATTTTTCTGAGGCACAGAAATGTATAAGTAAGCAGTACCCTAGATTCAGTGTATGTATTGGACTTCTTGCTCAGTGGTCTTCCCCATACAGCTCTCTTGAAAGCAGGTGGATATCGGCACACACAATCATTGCACTTACAAGCATCTAACTTTGGCGGATTCTATCTTGGATCTTTCTAAATGAAGTGATCAGATATTATCTGGTAATGTCAGTTTGTGAAAGTTGTGATAAGAGAATGTCCTTAGGCCACTGCCTTTGAAAAATGCTTAAACGGTCAAGACCTGGACTCAGCCTGATGATTGCTTCTCTGGCGGGGAGGATAGGGGGATTGTCTTCATTTGGCTGTTTGGCTCTCATGTGCTGTTCATGGAGTATAAATGTACATCTGCTCCTGAGCAGTAATCTCTGAGGTATTCAGGATCTTGTGACATAAGAGACTTGCATAGCATCTTTTTATTTTAGAGCCTAAACTCTTCCTTTTTTAAAAGTTCTGCTCTTACTGTCTCTTACCCAGACCAGCAGCTTCTGCCCCTAATTCAGTCTTGGCTTAAAAACTTATGGCATGTGTGCAAAAATATAGCTTAACTTTGTATTTATGCACAGCAGTTCTGTGCTGCAGCTTCTGCAGAAGACTGAAATTTAGTTTTGCACAGAAACTCGGGGTCTGGAGTTCAGGTGAGCTGTAATCTGCTGTGGTGAGTCTGTTTAATGAGTCTCTTGAAGGCATTTTCCTTCCTACATCACATTTTACTACTTAATGTTCATCACTTACACTGCCATTCTGTCTGGCATGCTTCTGTTTACTTATCTTGAAAACACTACTAGCTTGTGGTAGCTTGTACCCTTTGCAGTAGAATAGAGTTCAGTCATGGAAATGTCAGCTGGAGCATTTGGAGTGGAGGTGTGGCCAGTTTGTGTTAACTGGCATTGGAGCCATTCCTGTTGCCACTCATTGGTACTGTTTCTTGAAGAGACGAAAACACCAGCTGTTTCCTGGAATCTAGCTGACTTTTTGCACAATTTCTAAGAGCTGCAGGTTTTAAATGAGTAATACATTCCCATTTGTTGAAAATGCTGCATTGTTTTTGAATTAACAATTGCTAATTAACTCTAGATACATAGTGACCAATAAATGCAATGCCTGTCAAACCTGTACAATATTAATGTACATGTGAAGCTTAGTTTAGCAGCTAAGATCAGAAGCAATTGAATATCAATGGTAGAAAGCAGTTGTTTACTTTTAGATGGGGTTTTTGCCCTGTGCTGTCTCTGTACTATGTGGTTGGACTCAGTACCCTGGAAATTTTGGCTTAACGTTTTTAGGCTTTCATTCAAAAAGTACACGTAATCGTCAGCCCAGAGCAAATGTTTAAACATTAAACTGACTTCAAAAATGAATTCCTCTGTATTGTTTGCAGTAGGCTAGCACTGAAAGTGATGCTACTTTTTTTTTTTTTTTTTTTTTTTTTTTTTGTCACCATTAAGCAAGGAGAAAATACACTTGGATTCACCACTTCTAACCAGCTGAGGGAGAGAGCAAAGTGCCTAGTTAATAGAAGCCCTTAATAGGACAAATAAAGTGCTGTTAACTATTCTGGTTCTGTAAGCTTGTAAGATGCCTGTTCTAGTCTTCCCTCACAATCCCTACAAGGCTGCTCTTGTTTACAGTGCTGAAATGGTGGTAATGGTTGACAGAATTCAGTTTTTCTTTTTTTGTATATAATTTTGGTAGATAATATAGATGTTTATTTTAAGCATTTATTTCATTTTTTATCGATGTTCAGGGTTGCACACACTTAGGAGTGGGGGGGTAGACTTTATTCATGACAGTATATTATTATAGTGCCATTTAATTGCCTACTGCAACAAACATAACTACTGGAGGACTGCCGCCAGCTGAGCAACACTGCTGCCAACAGTTCGGGCTCTGCTCGCCTGTAGCTCCCTTGTCTGCTTTGTCACTTCCTCTTCCTTTGTTTCCAGTCTCCTGGGGTTTCTGAGAGTTGCAGTCCAAACTATAGTCTTATGTCCCCTTTCTATACATTTTGTTATTAACTATGGAAATATTTTTTTATGGGTCAGTGTGAGGTGAAACTGATGTTTGTTGGCATTTTACCCTTTTTTAAACAATCAAATCCTGCCAAGCCCATTTCCTCACTTATAACATAACTTATAAAAGGACCATAATTAAATCCTGGCAGTTTAGAATAATAATGTTCTTTATCCCTACAGTTGACCCAAACAGCTTTCTTGCAGCTTAGCTGTCTTCCCCCTCTCAATATAGTGGTGGCCCTATAAGGAACTAGGAGGTTGGGAGAAAGTGTGGCAGGATCATTTCCCTGAGAGAAACAGCCTCAGGTTATACTTCTAGCAGACGGTAAGAGAAGTGAATGTACCTATTTGGGAGCTACGTGCCTCAACTCATCATTTCACCATTGATCGTTCCTTCCTCGGGCTAATACAGAAAACATCCTGATCACCGAGAGGAGTTTTATGTTCACAATAGTGTTTTTCTGGATCAGCTGGAGCATAGTCTGGGGTAGGAACAAGAGTCTGTGCTGGACAAACAACATCAGCTGCTTAGTTTGTGACTACAATTCCTACAACCTTATGTTTGTGCATTTTAGAAACTGAATGGGTAAGGAGGTTTGAGGATTGATTTAGTTAGCTTGCTACCTGCATGTAGAATGCTCCTCACAATGTTGCTAATGCTCAAATCCATACTTGTGGGAGCATAAGTTAACCAGGTAGTTTAAAATTATGTTCCTTCAGGACTTCCCACCCAGAAAGAAGACAGGATTGTTAATACTAACACTTTATTGGTAAATTTATTTCCAGAGATGATTTTTTTTCCTTTTTATACATCTCAAGCCATCTTAAGCAAAAAACCTTAACTGTATTTCTAAAGATTGAAGCAGAGAGAAACTGAGCTGGGAACAGTGGAGAAATGACAAGATCTCCCTTTACCGCCCATGTTTGTCGATGGTTTTTTGTATCCATCTCTTCAGGCGAAATACATGGGTATAAAATCCATATTTACCATCACGGTCACATCCTTCTCCCCATGAGACAATTCCCACCTGATACCAGCGGTCATCAGGGTTCTAAATGAAGAGGAAAACAAATTTTACTATTCTCTACAGAGACAAGATTTCATGGGAGTTTCATAAACCAGGACTCTAATTTGCTGGGTTTGTGGGTAGTGCTCAGGAGTTAGCCTGCCAGAGGGCTTAGGCAGAGGCTCACTGCAAACAATTTAACTGATTTCACAGGGAGCACATCACTCAGTAATCTCTTTAAGAGCTGGACCTCAATGTGCACTGCTGTCTAGAAACTGGGTGGGATTGGCTTAAATGTGTTTTAGGAATAAGATAAGGATCTGCTATGTTAGGGTAACTGCAGTACCAGCCATCTGGGGCTTTCAATTGTCACTACTGCCATGTAAGAACATAAGGCTTCAGCTGAGAGACCTTGCCACGTGTCTCAGGAGCAGAGCACTGCTTTGGTGCTCGTTGTACATACCTTCATGACGAAAGGGCCTCCACTATCCCCCTCACAGGCATCCCCTCTCTTGGCATCTTCAGGACTGTAGCCTGTAGGCCATGAAAAGAAGGTCAAAAGGCATCTGATCAGAGAGGAAAGGACTAGTCTTTCCTCCACCACCTTTTGGGCATCTTCCATTTCTGTCCTTAGCTGCCGCACAGCCATTGAGACTAGCCATGTGGCCTAACCAACAGCTTCCAGCTTACCACTCCTGCTCTCATCTTCTCAAACAGAAGCAAGAGAACAGTCTTCTCCAGGCACACCCACCCACCCACACCTACCTGCACAGAACATGTTGTCAGTGACTTTGATCTTGGTGGATGCCCTGCAGTTCTGCTGATCAACAAGGGGGAGGTTCACTTGCTGCAAAACTGAAGGCAGGGAAGCAGAAGTAGAGCTCCAGGTCTCGAAGAGGTTTCCCCAGCCAGAAACCCGCCCTTTGTATCCCTCTAACATCAGGCTGCAAAAAAGAAAAAAGGGTATGAGGTTGCAGCCACATAGTGACATGATGCATTCCCTCTCTACTGGCTTGATCCTCAATCTTGTGGCAAGGGCACCTTACCAGTTGGCTCTGTTGTACCAAGCCTGCTTCTTATAGCTGCCCCCTTCCAGTTCTTTACTATGACCCAAAGATACCTCCCATCCCTGACTTTAGACTGTAGCCTTGTTACCGCTGCACAATCTCTTTGGTAGGCAGGCAGATGGGGTGGATGAAGTTACTGAAGGCAACGGGTTTCTTCAAGTGCATCAGTGCAATGTCTCGGTCCAGGTTCTCTTTCCAATTGTATTTGGGGTGGATGATGATTTTATCCAGCAAGACTATCTTCTCTTGGTTCCGTTCATACCTGCACAGTTCCCAGAGGAAGGAGAAAAGTGACTGTCCTGGGGTTGCTCAAGATGACTTGTGCCCTCCACCAAGAAACCCTCTCTCTCCATACAATGGGAAAAGGATCCCAGGGAGGACTGCAAAGAGGCAGCCTGATCTCCCTTTGATTAGGAGCTTGGGGAACAGCAGAGCAGCAGCAAGCAGCATTGGAGCACACTTGCAAAGGAAAGCACATGACACTAGTCAGATCCTCAGGAGGTTTTCTGGGTACTAGGTGGCATCCTTCCCAGGCCCTAGCCTCATTTTCTCTCTGTCTGGGGAACTCCAATGATGACCCCCACCATCCAAGCTCTTACTTTGCCCTGTAGTGCTTGCCAATGCGCACCAAGAGGTCATCTGTGGTGAAATTCTTGTCCCAGGGTGGGTAAAAAAGACAATGAGCAGCAGTCAGGATCCAGCGGTCACTGATGAGACTGGCCCCACACAGCAGCTCTTGTGGATTCTTCCTGAAGAGCATCACCTGCCTAGGAGGGATAGGGAAGGAGAGCGCTTCTCAGGACCACTAGCTCAGCTGGCTGAATGTTCCTGTGTGCTTCACAGCAGTGGCAGAGTTTGTGCCAAGCCAGGACCATGTCCAGTCATGAGAACCCAGAACTGAGGAGTATTTTAGTCCCTGTTGTGGCTACCAGTAGAGGCACCTGCCTCCTGGGCTGGAACCAGTGGGGGGGACAGTCTGCAGACTACTGTGGACTTCACTCCATAGGGCAGAGAGTCTCTCCCCCAACTGTAGCAGTACTACCAAGTCAGCCCCTAGGCAGGCTACAAGCAGAGGTGATGCTGGCTCCATGCCCCATGCCAGCTGACTGTCCTGGCTTGAGCTGAAGAGAGTGTCACAGGAAGCAACATGAAGAAATAGCACTTACCAGGGAGCACTGCCAACTTCTGCTTCCTCCCCCTTCACAACCCGGGCTTCTATGTAGGACTC